TTTTTTGAGACAGGGTCTCCCTGTATAGTTGAGACTGACCTGGAACTAACTCACTGTGTAGCCCAGGCTGGTCTCGAACTCACAGTGATCCTCCTGCCTCAGCCTCCCAAGTGCTGGGATTACAGGTGAGCACCACCACGCCCGGCCTTTACACTAGCTTTTATTCTGTTGTTTTTTATATTTTTGCTGGTTTTCTTCCTTTTTGTTTTGTATATATATTGGTCCACTTTTGTCCTTTTAATTTTTAATCCAGTGATTTTTCAAATTATAAAATTTCAATTTACACTCTCCTTTTTTACTCCTATTGTTAAAGAAACTGAGCATAGTTTTGTTAATCAAACTTCAGGTTTTGTCAAAGTAATGTGGTATTTTAATTCAGTCTATGTAAGCCCATTTTAAGAAAACTTTACATGACAAAGGATCTGTTTGAGGACAGTGAGGATAGCTGAGATACATCCCTTGCTTTTTAAGGTTGACATTATGGGGAGAAATCATGCTTTCCTTAGAAAGTATTATTTGGGATTGAGCAATCCCACTTCTAGGTATATATCTGAGATAATTAAATCAGGATATCTGCATTTCTATGGTCATTGTGGTGCTGTTCTCAATAGACAAGTCATAGCATCAACCTAAATTCCCATCAGGAGATGAATAGATATTTTAAAATGTAATGCGAACGCACACACACACACACACACACACACACACACATAACACGTGTGCGCATGTGCACAACGGAATACTGCTATTCAACCTTAAGGAAATTCTGTCATTAGTGACAACATGGATGAATCTAGTGGGACATTATACTAAATGAAAGAAACCAGGCACAGAAAGGCATTTACCACATATATTCGTCAGTTTTCTGTCTTTGGGCCAAAATGCTTGACATCTGCAACATAAAGGAGGAGAGGTTTATTTGGCTCATGGTTTCAGAGGGCTCAGTCCGTGGTTGGCTGGCTTCAAGGCAGGAATGGCATGGCAGAAGAGCTCGGCAGAGGACAACTGCTCCAGCCGTGGTAGCCAGCAAGCAGGGAGAGAAGGGAGGATCTGGGGACAAGAATATACCCTTCCAAGTCCTTGTCTCTGCTGCCCCACCTCGGACCAGGCTCCACTTTTGAATGGCACATTCAGTTAGGAACTTAGCAATAGATTAATCCTCTGGTGAGTAGAGCACTTTGGGGAACTTTAGATTTTAAAGCACAATGCTCATGATCTGATATGTGGAACCTACAAAAATCAGACTCAGAAATAGAAAGTAAAATGAGGGTGAGAGTGTTGGGGTGATGGTGGTTTAAAGGGCATAAAAGTTTCAGTTAGGAAGAATATGTTACAATGTTACATTGCACAGCAAGGTGATTATAGTTAATACTGAAATGCTAAAAGATTTTAAATATTTTCACTAAAACATGTTAAGTGCATGAGGGATAGCTATATAAATTAGCCTTAATCATTCCACACTGTGTACACATGCAAAATATCACACACATATATGTGTCTTTATCTATAAATATATAATATATATAAATGTGTGT